TTTGGTGCTTTAGGGCTTTTGGGGTTTAGAGTGAAGAGTTAGAGGTTAGGGTTTAGGGCTTTGGGGTTTAGAGTTTAGGCTTGTAGGGTTTAGGGCTTAGGACTGTAGGGTTTTAGGTTTTAGGTTTTAGGGCTTAAGCTGTATATGGTATAAGCTGTAGAGTCTTAGGGTTTGGGGTTTTTTGGGTAGGGTTTAGGGTATAGTCCTCGCAGTACTCTTGACAGACTCCGATTCCGCCAACCCTGCAGCCACAACCCCAAACCCTAAAACCGACCAGTGCTGGATGCAGCCCGTCCTCCTCCGGCATGTCCTCAGACAACATGCAAGGCTTGGGCTCTACTCCGTGTAGGGTTTAGGGTTTAGGGTCTAGGGTTTTTCTTTTGAGGGCCTTTTGGATGTCAAGGGTCTCGGGTTTAGGGCGTAGGGTTTAGGATTTAGGGTTGAGGGTTCACGGTTTCAGAATGTTCAGATTGTGGGTAAGGATCCTTTGGCTCTTTCTGAAAGGGAGCCTCCTCTGTCAGCGCTCTTCAAGGGTCCCCTATGTTCTCAACCATCTCGTCGGGCGTTTGAGGCTTCATGGTTAAGCTTGTTATACTACGCTCAAACAGGGACTTTTAAGAGACTACGATCTTTTTAGTTTTTAGCATTATCCAGGCCGCGATATTCAACCCTAAACCTTATATAAACCCGTTTAGGGTTTAGGGTTTCGGGTTAAGGGTTTATTGGGCTTCGGGTTTTGGGTTTAGGGTTTTAACAAGGCTCCTCCAGGGACTTCTGGAAGTCCGCGAGGAACTTCAAAGCTCTGCGGCAGATCTCAGCCGGTCCGAACTTGGAGGACCTAAGCTAGCTGGCTCTGGGCTTGTCTGGGTTTAGGGTTTTGGGGGTTCGGGATTTAGGGTTTAGAGCTTTCTGGGCTTAGTGTTTTTTTTTTTAGGGTTTACGGGTTTAGGGATTTAGGGATTCGAGCTTTCTGGGTTTAGGGGTTTAGGGTGTTTCTGGGTTACACATTCTATGGCTAACAAGCTTAGGCTTGTGGATTGTTGGGCTTTACGATCGTCTTGCACCGTTTCATCATGTATGGCGCTACCCGGGAGCCTGTGGACGTATTGTGCTGCAGGGCTTCGTAGGGTTTCGCGTTAAGGGTTCAGGGGTTTAGAGGTTTAGGGTTTATAGGGGCCAAAGACCCTAAACCCTAAAGCCCTAACTAAACCCTAAAACCCTACACCCATCCAGCGGGCTCTGTGGGTTTAGACATCCTTCCTATTGCAGCGAAAGCGGGAATCTTTTCGACTACCCAGTTGTCTGCCGGTTTTTCGGCGGCGTATAGTGTAGGGGCCTTCTTAATTGAAACAGTAAGGTTTTAGGGTATATTGTACTAGAAAAAGGAGCCCCAAGACATAGTCTTGCAAACTGTTTAAAGGTAGAGTAACTCCTCCCCTCTCCCTGGAATATCATCACGCACTCCTAGACCTGCCAAGCGACCCCCAAGCACAAGTCTTGACCCAAACCCTATAAACCCTATGAAACCCGAAATCCCTAAACCCTAAAACCCGTAAACCCTAACACCCAAAACCCTAAACCCTAAACCCTAAACCCGTAAACCCTAAAACCCCTAAACCCCTGACTCCTGGCAACCCAGAGTCTCTTGAATCAGGGATTTGGGTTGCCCTCAACCCTAAACCGGGACGCCCCAAATCCAAAAAAAGTCTCTGAGCCTGGAACCATCATCGTGACAGGGGATAAGGTATAGGGTTTATTTAGGGAACAATCATCGTAACAGGGCACCAAGAAAAGGCCAGAAACGATTTTGGTAACACTTTTCGAGCTGCCAACTTTCGCAACCCACCGCAAGCGAAGAATATTCATCCCGCGGGTCTGAGCCAAAGCCGTCTGGAGTAGAAGAACAATATGGGGGTTTCCGAAAATAAGGGGGTACCGTATTTTGGGGTCTTCATAATTAATAAGGATCCTACTATTTAGGGTACTATTTTAGGGTCCCCTATTTTCGGAAACCCCCCATATGTTCACAACCTTCCTTGCCCCAGCTCAACACGCGTACTTGGCAGTCCTACACTACAACCGTTACATCTCTAAGCCCCCGTAACTCCCTATGTTGCTTGAAGTAAACCTAAGCCCTAAAATCAAACTCCTTACACAAAGCTACAGGCCCTACAATATAAACCCGAAACGCCCGAAACATTCCGGCCCTAAACCCTAAACGCTCTATACATTCCGAAGCCGTCTCTTTCGAGGCCCCAACATCAGCCACACAGAGAAGCCCTGCACGCGGTGCGTCCAGCGCGCGCCGCAGGAGGCCTGGGTTACGTGGCATAGTAATGGGGCCTTAATAACTACCTATACTATTTGGGGGTTCCCCTTATTATATTTTATAGTATAATCGGCCACCGGGGCTTTCATAATTACCTATACTATTTGGGGGTTCCTTATTAGAATTATACTATTTTTTGGGGGGGGTCCTTAATATAATGATAGTATAGTGGGCCATAGGGGCCTTCATAATTACCTAGACTATTTGGGGGGCCTCCTTGTTGGAATTATAGTATAATGGGC